GGGCAGAGGCTGCCTCACCAAGCCGCCGAGTCATTGTCTTTGCAGGCTGCCTCTTCAGGTACAAATGACACACAGCAAACTTGCACTGTGGGTGTTCAGTAACTGCTTCAAGGACCGGGATTTGTTCTTTTTGGGTGTGTGACGTGAGCATGGGGGCTTTAGGGTGTAGGCTTCCCTGCCATATATAGATCACGAAAAGCTTCGGGCAGATGGCAGCCTGGAAGTTGAGAGCATCACTGCTGCGAGCTGTCCAGCCTCTGTGGGAGCACGCCTGGTGCTGGAGCCCAAGTGAGTCTGACCTTTGCTCCTCCCCAGGTCTCCTTCCGGTGCCACTTTTAACATGCAACCGAAGGTCCCAAAGCAGGAGCGGAAGGAGAAAGCAAAAAGTTGAGAGTCCACCAACTGGACCAGCAGGCGCAGAGCCATTAGCTGTGGCCTCCCTTGTCATTTTCACAACCTGCCAAGGCAGGACCCCCTCTTGTGTCATTGCTTTCCTTCTGTGGATTCTGATGACACGCTGGCGTGACATGAGGGGGTCCTGTATGATGGAGGGATAAATGGCAAAGGCCGTCTCTAGTGGCCCTGGGTGGCTTGGTCTTGTGAGCAGGGAGATGAACTCGATCCTGGCATCACATGTCCTTTCTAAAAGGACTCTGAAGATGGTTTGGGCCATCGGGCTGAAGGCCTTGTGAAACAAGAGTAAAATGCTTCTCAGATTGAGACAGAGTTGCAGCATACTTTTGTCTAGATACAAACTCTTTTATTCAAATCCCTATATTTCCAAAAGTAAGGTGGTTTGAATCACTTTCCCAGGATGTGTTTTAGTTTCTCAGAATGAAACAAAAGAAAGACCCCTTTTCAAGAGTGAGTATGGAGTCTAAAGGGTAAAACCATCATGAACTATGGGAAAAAATCTAAACGCTTACCAAAAGCCCACTTTAGACAATCAGAAATGATTTCTCTAAATATACGTGTAGGGACCACATATAACGATGTTACTCTGAGGTCCTTAGCGAGGGCAAGTAACCCTAAAATCCCATCCTGGTTGGCATTTCCATGGCAGCTCCCTGGGGATGAGCTACCTATTGTGTCCAGATTTTTGCAAGCCCCATGTAAACACACACACACACACACACACACACACACACACACGTCCATTGCAACAGAGCCTTCTGGTGCTTTTCCAGATGGGACCCTTAGCTTAGACATGATTCCAATGGAGACAGCATAGTTCTGAGAGAGATTCCCAGGGCACTTGATGACACCAAAATAGACATGTGAAGTCCTGGCTTAGCTGACCGGGAGGGTGCAGTGGGGAAGTTGTTCCAAAACACATCCACCTGATGGAAATATTCTGAAGTGGAATGAGCTGTAAATAAATTAGACTGTGCTAAAAACAAACAGTTCCAGGGAGGGAGGGAGAGAGAGGGCAGAAATAGATGGCTTTCACCTGCTTCAGTAAAGTAGGTCAAGGTCAAGGAGGAATGGAGACAGAACAAATGGTACAGGTGCCTCGGCAGAGAAGCAACTGATAATAAGTCTTGTTTACTAAAGGGTCTCCAGTCTCCAGGAAGGAATAAGAGATGTGATGGTTACATTTCAGTAGTAGAAACTGTACCAGGTACTGGGTGAAGAAGTCCTTCAAGGCCGTATATTGTCTGAAAAATGAATGGCAGCAAGCGGAAATCAGACACACGGATCTGCCAGCCTCCCAGGGGTTCTTGGGTGGCAGAGACTTGGTGGAAAGCTGTAGCCTCGGCCTTTACCTGTCTCTGAGGAAAAGAGAGACAAAGAAGAAAGCGTAGCAGGAAAGACTTTAGAAGAGTCCTAGGTTGCTGTGTACCTGTCAGCCTGCCCCACATAACTGAAATATGGTGGTGCCATTGACCCCACCTCTCCTTGGTACTCAACACTCAAGGAAAGAACTGGCGTGTGTGTCAAATTTGATAATGATATAGCTCTGTTTACTGCTGAGAAAAAGTGCACATGACAGCCAGAGTGGACCCAATGGTCACAGCTCAGTGTGGTACTCTACTGTAGCACATGACAATTCCATACCACACCAGCCTCACACAGCACCATACTGTGACCTGGATGGATCAGGACCAAAAGAAGCACACCCTAAAAAAAAGACTGTCATCTCACCACGATAACAATTGTTCCCCAGTTTTGCAAATATGCATGATCGCTGCTTTTTACCAGTCACAGCCTTAGCCTTCTCTTCCTGTTGCTGAGAAGGAAGATACCCAGTCACAGGCTAGCCCTTGCTTCTTGACAGTGTCCAATCCAGAGCAAAACTTTGCTTCCTCGTAGTTTCCCCCTAAATCACCCAGCAGAAGCTCAAACCCTAGAATCAGTCCTTCCTAACACTCTCTTACCAAGATATCTTCTGGTTCCTCCTGGGTGAGTTTGCAGTGAGTCAAGAAACCCAGCTGGGTTGGACAAGGCGTTTGTGTTCCCAGGGGGCTTCAGCTGAAGGAAATTGCTATGGTCATCTCGAGTCGTTCTTATGGGAGCCTCTTGCCTTCTTCTTAGGTCTTGGCCTTCATTTTTACCCATATGTAGTCATAGTATAGAGTTTAAAAGGAAGAACTCTGGAACAAGACTTCTTGGATTCAAGTCTTTGCTTACTACCTGTATGACTTTGGACAAAACGCTTAATTCTTTGCCTCAGTAAACTGTTGAGAACAGCTAAAGCTGGAAATTGGTCATATGTGTCAGGCAGCACAAGGCCATAGTGCCTAAAGCAGTCAAGCTACCTCAGTCTCAAGAAGCACATTCTACCCGGACAATTTCAGTCATAAGTTGCTAGGAAACCTGTGTCCTATAATACTAACTTTGTGAAGGCACAAATAAACACCCCCAGTGGTGTTGTTTAGGTCTTTTGTCCATCCAGGCAAACAGGCCTCCACCTGGACTCAGCTCTAGTCTTTTGTCTGTCTTTTCCTCAGTCCTATCACAGTTTCTCCCCAGGGTACACCAAGACAACAATGAGTCCCTACAGTAAACTGTCCTAGAAAATGGGAGTGAAGAGGATGATGATGATGATGATGATGATGATGATGATGATGATGATGGTGATAGTGCTTAACTGTCAGGGTCGCTACGAGAGGTAGGTTAGTGTCTATGCATGAACCACTTAAGTAGTATCTTGCACATAGTGTATGTCATTAATATTATTGATTCAGCAAACATTTGTGGAGTGCCTAGTGTCTTCCAGGCACACAGTTAGTTCCTCAGAATAAACACTGCCTCCTACCCTCCCAGAAAACAAACTTTATTCAAGGAAATTGAGGAAATGGTTTCACTCCATGGAGAACAGCTGACATGAAGATAAATCCAGAAAAAAAATATGTAGCAGGACTGGACCTGCTGGCACTCATCTTAAGCCCAGATGCTCAGGAGGCTAAGGCAGGAGGATTGCAAGTGTAAGGCCAGCTTGGAAAACTTCATAAAATTTTAAAGGGGCGGAAGGGATACAGTTTAGCCCTCCCTGCATTCAATCCCCATAAAACAGCATAGTAGGGCCACTCTACCTGGGCCTGGGAGGTCAAGGAAAGCTTCCTGGTGAGAATATTGAAGTCAGAGGTCAGAGGTCAGAACAAGACATGTCCCTGGCAAGTGCAAGGGTCTGAGTTTAATCCCTGGTTCTGCAAAAAAAAAAAAAAAAAAAAGAACAAGACATGTGGTAGATGAGCTGCACGTGTGCTGTAAGCTAGAGATTCTGTGAGACGTAGAGGTCAGGGTGCCATCGTGAGACCAAAACTGAGAACCAAAACATGCTGGGGTTTGGCCATCAGGGGTATTGCTGCCATGAACACTCTAGTTCATGGATTTGGGTGAAAATACACCCACCTTTCTGTTGGTAAATACCTAGGAGTGAAGTTTTTAGGGTACAGCGCACATCTGTGTCTAGCTTTAATAGAAAATATTAACAACTTCCTCCCACCAACCGGTATGTGATAAGTCTGGGTGTTTCACACCCTGGCCACATTTGCTAGGTTCTGTCCTTTTCAATTTAGCCGTTTGGATAGGTATGCGGCGTTGGCATCCCAGAGTGCACCATCAGCATTCAGCAGGATGAATGAGAGCTAGTCTTGCCACCCGGCTGAACTCTATATCAGTGTTCGCTACCCACAATAGCTTCTGTGACTCCCACAAACACTGCTTGTGCAAGAGAAATCAAAAGTAAGAATTCATACTGTGTGATTCCGTTTATATAAAATAAAAAATTCTTAAAAAACCTAGGCAAGACACTCCCCTGGCGTCAGATTCAGGACAGTGGCAGGCAGGTAGGGAGCCCTGGGATTGGAGGTTCTGGGGCTGCTGTTCAGTCCCTTGACCTGAGTGCTGGCTTCTAGAGTTTGCTCACTTGGTAGAAATATATTGGTGTGTAACTTATGATCTGCGTGATTTTTTGTAAGATACGGTTTCATACATATTGAGCATAGGTGAGACTCTGCTTAGAAAGGAAGCTCTAAAGGCCCAGGACCATCCATTCCTCTCCTCAGGCTGGGATTAGGCCACCAATTTATGGAGACATTAAACTGCAACTCTCGAGTGAAATGACAGATGCTCTAGTATGTGCGTAGAGTCCTTGTTCTAAAATCATGAGCCCGAGCTCGAGCACCTTGAAATAAACACTACCTCTAACTCTGGCTGACATCTGTTTGTACAGCTTCCTCTTAAATACAGTACCAGAATCATTAACACACACTTCCTTCCCTCTAGTTATTGGGGACATATTATGAGTCTGTCTGGGCTTTGTGTTCCTTTTCACATCCACAGTGTGACTGTTTTTAAAGCAGGAGAAATGGATCTTAAACGATCGCAGTGTCCATGCTGTCTTAATTCAGCAACAACAAGGCAAAGGCTGTGTCGGGTAGCAAACAGGGCTGCATCAGTCCCTAACAGGTTAGAAGGCAGAGCTGGAGGTCTGGGGTGACTGTGTGGTTCTCTCCTGGGCGCAGTGAGCGTGACCCCATACTAACAAGCAGCAGTTTTCTCTGCCAGCCCTTCCTGGCCTGGATCAGAAGAAGCGAGGCGGACACAAGGCATGCTGTCTCCCGACACCTCCTCCGCCCCCACTCTTCCCACCACCGTTCTTCAGAGGAGGCCGAAGTCCGGTGAGTACTCAGGACTTACGCGCGTGTAGAACGCTGGGCTTCTCGGGCCCACCCTGTACCGCACCTGCTCCCCGCGGGCTACTTCCACAGTCTTGTCTGAGAGTCTACCCTTTACTGTTACTCTGAAGTTCAGCCCTGGAATGGACATTTGCAGATTCTGGGCCTTATCTATTGTCATGCTATCTGAAATCATGATGAAGAGAGGATCGTCTCAGCTGGATATTGATTTTGGCAAAGTGTCCCATCTTTTTGAAAACAATGAAGTGAATTTTTTATTTTAGGGAAGGGTCTACAGGGTGGTTAGGATCTCACTACCAGATCGGATTCATAGTGACCCACCTGTTTATAGCCTCCCAAGAGCTGGGATTACAGGCACGTGCCACCATGCCCAGTCTCAATCACCGTCTCAGCGCGCTCCGGGGGCGGAGCCAGCACGGCAGGCCTGAGGATCGAACCTCCGGCCCCTGCGCCTGCATGCAGGCACTTTAATCCGCTGAGCTATTTGGCCAGCCCAGTGACGTGAATTTATAGCTTCCTACATTCCTATCAACTGTTCAGATACGGAATTTCCTCTTTTCTTTCCTCTCCCCGCCCACCTTGTATTAATAAAATTTCCTAATCAGGGAGGAGAAAGGAGATGAAAATGGAGGACAAGGCATGAATGGAGAAGGGAGGATAAAGAGAAGGGAGATGGCACGCACAAAATACACTCAGACTGCAGGAATTACTTCTCACGTCTGTAACACACCATCTATATAATTTATGATATATTTTCAAATAACTAGAAAATAAGAGCCTAAACTTTCCCAACACAGAGAAATAATAACTGTTTGAGGAGATGAGAATGCTAATTCTTTGATTTGACTATTATATATATATTTGCATAGTACATTATCATAGCATATCCCCTAAATGTGGATAAATCTTATGGGTCGATTGCAGAAAAAAAGAAATGTTTCCCATAGTCCATGTCTCAGGCAGACCACGCCTGTGAAGTGACATAGGAAATAGTCTTCCAGGGCCGGAGAGATGGCTCAGTGGAATAAGCGCTTCCCTGGCAAGCGCAAGGGCCTGGGTTCAATCCCTGGTTCCGCCAAAAAAAAAAAAAAAAAAAGGACATAGTGTTCTGAGAGGCGTACTGAAGCTTGAGAAGGAGCAGGTTTGGGAAAGAGAAAAAGGCGAGGAAAGGAGCAGGATTTAGAACTAGAAATAAGAGGCCAGGACATTCTAGGGACTTGCAACCCTCAGATCTTTCTGGAAGCTCTCGGCCCTGCACTATGCCCCAGCTACTAGCCTTAGGTGGCTATCAGGCGCCTTCAGGGTAGCCGGTTCAAACTGGGACGTGCTGCCATGTTAAATGGAATATGAAGACCTAGTGTGGAACAAAGAATGAAAAGTATCCCATTAGTAACTTTTATACTAATATGTGTTGAAATGACAGTATGCAGGCAATATTGGGTTAAACAAAACGTGTTATAAAAATTCATTCCACTTGTTTTCTTTCAGTGTTTATAAAAGGTAAACATGTGATTACCAGAAAATCTAAAATTACAGTGTGGTTCTTGGCATGTTTCTTCTACCGACCGGTGCTCTAGTAGGTACTGCATAAGGGCCCTTGGAATGCCCCTCCTAACTCCACCCAAAAGGCCATGCCATCTCATGAACCCATCCAGCCAGGCTGTCCCAAGAGCAAACAAGAGAGCCGGAACTGCTGTCTCTGAAGCCTGTCTTCCCAGGCCACTCATCAGGGTGCTGGGGACTCACCAGTCATGGATCTGAACCCGGAGCAGGGCCAAGTCCAGAGAGGCAGCCCTTCCTCTGGGTCTGAGTCTGACCTATAACCCCGTGTTGCTTTGCCCTGAAGCTTCTCTCCCCAGACACGAAGAATCTCCTCTTGGAACTCGAGACCTCACAGTCCCCCTGCCTGCAAGGCTCGCTCGGCTCCCCTGGGCCCCCTGGCCCCCAGGTAGGTGTGCTGCCTCCTGCTGCCATCACCTGCTGCTGACTCGTTCAGGGCAGGAGAGCCCCTGGACAGTGCCTCATGGTGCCTGCTCCTTTCAACCTGACGAGGGGCTGCTGCTTCTTCCCTAGCTCACCGGCTCCTCCAGAGCCACCTGGAGGGAGCACTGGTTTTCTTCTCGGTGAATTCTGGCCTCCTGGGTTTGATTCTTCATCTATGGGAGGAGTCAATAATCTCCCCTGCCATCCTGGATTTTAGGGGAAGTAAGAGAGATTCTGCCTGCATGGCAATGGCTATGGCTATAGTTATCATGAGACAAAAGCTTGGCGATAAGGCGCCTCATGTCACCAGTGACCCACCCGAAGACCTGGAGGCCCCAGCGTTCAGTGCAGGCAGGTAGAAGGAAGAGACACTCATTAGCCTGAGCTTCCCTGGGCCCCTGATACTGCTACCAAGCAGCCTACTTGTCCCCACCAAAAGGAAAGGAAGAATAAACGCGAGACAAAACACTACAGAAAGAACTTTCTAGTCCAAAAAAAAAGAACCCTCTAGAAACCCCATCTCCCTTCTGCTCCTCTGGGCTGCCTTGGGGAGGGACTGGGTCAGCGAGGGGCGGTCCTAGGCTGGGAGGAGAAAGAGAGTGCGTGGAGCAGTCAGTTTGCATATAAGCTGTCACTCACCTGAGTTAGCCATCTGTGGCTTCCTATCACTGGAAAGCTAAGAGCCGAGCTGTACCCTGGGATCCGAAGCCTCACAGGAGGGGACTCTGCCTTGTATCCCATCAGCAGCTCACACCTCCTCCGCTATCCACTCAACACAGCCACAGCCTTGGCCCGGTTCTCACGCAGCTCAAGCTTGTTTCAACCTTAGGGCCAACCTTAGGGCCTTTGCGCTTGCTCGTCCTGCTATGCAGGACGCTCTGTCAGGTGATTATCACAGCTGGCTCCTTTTGCTCCCTCAGAACTTACTTTTCCTGTCTCCCCCTCAGGGATGAATAAGGAAAGTGGTCTCCCTCCCCCACCATCATTGCTCCCAATCATGGCAGCCTAGTTGAGTTTTTTCTTGATCAGTTATAGTTTCCTGATTTATTGTGCTTTTTCCTGGTCTCTTTGGTCTCCTGTCCATAAAGTGTAAGCCCTACAGCACATGATGGTCCATGGATCAATCCAGCAATGGCCTGTTTTCTAGCTCAAGTTTTGTTATCTATGGCTGCTTCTGGACGCAAAGGTGGAGTTGACAGACTGAATATGGCTCTCAAAGCCTAAGGTATTTAGTTACTCTGAGCCCTTGTACAGAAAAAGCTTAATGGCTCCTGACCTATGGGAACAGTGAAGATATCTCCCCACTCCCAGTTGCATTCCCAGTGTATAGCAGGGCAAGGGGCTGCGACCCATTCTCCATAAATACCTGTTGAATGCACTAAGGAAAACAAGAATTTGAACCCAGAGGTTCTTGGAAGTCTGAAGAATGATGAGATGGAAATCCACTAAGGAGGGCTTTTTCTACCCGTAGCAGTCCACTCCAACAAGTCTTGGGCCATGGGAGAACCGACAGAGTCTCAGAAGGAAGGAGGGGCCTCTGCTGAGCTCAGCAGCAGCTCCTCCGCTCCACTAAACATCTCCCTGCCTTCAACCCCTTTGGCTTGTGTGGGGGCTGCCTTGCCCAGCTGGAAGGTCCATGCGACCACCTCAGTTCCCCTAGCCCAGTGTTAAGCTGCCTTTCTCAAACCTGCAGGAGCTGGCCAGCAATAAGATCCCATCCTCCCCCAGCTGCTCAAAGGGAATCTCCAGTTTAGCATTTGACAAGGCTTGCTCCACCCCACCCCTGCACCTTCTAGACTGGGAAGCACGGAGCCAGAGCACAATGATCCTGTAAAATAGTTCTAGCTATTTCAAGAAATGACCAAAATTAAGGCTTAGAAGAACAAAGAGAATGGAATATAATTTCCTTCCTCCTTTCCCAAAGCAGTAGTACATAAGCCCAAGAGGGTGGCTCTCAAGCGTGTCTGCACCTTATGATCCCCTGAGGAGCTTCTGAAATTTCTGAAGCTTATCCTCTTCCCCCTAGATTGTTATTTAATCAGTCTGGGCTGTGGATGGGGCTCAAGAGTTTTCCAAGATCCCTGTGGAAGTATAGTATATTGATAGGTCTGGGAACCACCAGCCAGGTGTTCCTGGCCATTTGATAAACTTCAGAGGATACATTTCACGCAATCTTTTCACTATGCGTGTTTACTTGTGGGTCTTAGGACATGCTGGGGTTCTGAGGGTGTGGGATGAATTGGGCCCTTGTGTCCTGGGGACTTTGTCAAACAAGATCAGTCACATTCTGCAGATATGGTACAGTGGATTGTAGACCCCTGGGGTAGAGTCCTCCCACTGCTGTGGCAGGGAATGGGACAGAAGCGTGCCCACATTTTGCCTCTCTTACAAGAGAAGATGCAAAGGGGTGGGTAATAGGCTCCTGGTACCCACAAATTAACCACGGGAATTTGTAAGTCAACTGCTGCTTCACTTGCCTGCCGTCACCTCCCTGGGCCCAGGACAGCTCTGGGAGAGCGGTTGACAGACCCGAAGAGCCATGAAGCGTCGTGTTTTCAACAGATGGGGTTTCCTCAGAATGCATCCGGGGCTCTCGTTAAGCACTCAGGATATTTCAGGCAGCCAGAGGGCTCCAGGGACAAAATTAAAGACACACACAGTATGGATGTGTGCGCATTACGACTGAGGCACCACCGGACACGTGCTGAGAAAGCTCAGAGAGGAAGGAGAGGAGGAGAGTGGGTTGCAGGACAGAAAGCTCCTCTCTGGGGTGCCTGGAGCCCCACATCAGCACAGAACAGTGGTGTTTCGGTGAGGGTCCAGTGCGCCAAGCTCCTCCCGCCTCCCTACCACAGTGTCCTCTTGGCTTGGTGTAGTCTTTCTCTAATTCTTATCTTGATTGTGTAGGGTCCACCGGGGCTTCCTGGCAAGACAGGACCAAAGGGAGAAAAGGTATGAGTCTCTCCTTCTTCACCCCACCTCTCAGGCTTGTGTTATGAGGGTACTGCTGAGAATTTCCTGGTGGCTATTTCAAAATATGTGCTACTTCTGCTCTAGTGTAACGACAGGGCCCTGATGCCTGGCTGTTGCTGGGCTCTGGGATAGCACTGACGCATTCAGTGTGGACTACTGGCGTGGCAGGAGTGCTGTGACCAGCCAAAGGACTGGCCAGCCACCTGAGCCACACAGTCATGCCCAGCCCCCAGCCCTGTGATGTCCTCTGGTTCCGGAACTTCCCTCCCAGCAGCCTCTGCTTACCTGTCCTCTCCATCCACAGGGAGAATTTGGCCGGCCAGGAAGGAAGGTATGGTCCATGCTGTTCTGTCAGCATCCCACAGGCTACCGTGTGCCACGTGCGTGAGTGTATGTGCATCCTCAGGGGTGAGGAGCCAGCCCTTCACTACTATGGCCACTGATAACCAGGTGGTGGACAGCGACAGCGCTGCCCTCTTACCAGTGGCAGTAGCAATCCTTTGGACAGGAACTGGAGCTTGCTGCCACCAGGCATTCAGATTTCTCACAATGGCAGCAGCAAGCCTGGCCAAACTTCCTCCAGGCTCAGACATCTTATGCTACCGCCCATGAGAGAACCCATTCAAGGTGCCAACCAGCTACCCAGAAGGACTCTCTCTGCCTATTTGATTGATCTGGAATGAAGTACCAGAGGAGACAGAGGCAAATAGCTTTTGATTTGGGGTATAAATGGAAGTCGCTTAAGGTCACAGTGATGCTGAGGGAGCCAGACATACATCATCAAGACTCTCATCAGTGTCAGGAGAGAGTAAAGCAGCAGCCTGCCTCATCTGCTGTGGTTAGTGTAGAGAGGTACTGATATTCTCGGCCTTGTGACTAAAGGAAGTGTGAAACTTGGGCAGAGGAGGATGCTTCCAGCTCTAAATATAACTTACTGTATTCTTGATTAAATGTTTTATACAAATGGCTTCACTGTGACAAGAGCTGTCAACTGGCCCTTGCAAGATATAGATGTCAACCCCAGCCACCATGCAGCAGTGATCTGGAAAGGAACATTCCCATGCTCATACCAAACAAGCGCCATGTTGCTTAGTGATGTCTTCTGTGGATGTGGGAGGCACAAGGACCAGTCAGTACCCATGCAGCGCTTGGCATCTCTAAGAGCCTTGCTGAGCTTTCAAATCTGGAGCTAGCTGAGATCAAGAGAGACCCCTAGCCCACACTTCTCTTCTAGGCCCTGTCCTTCCATTGCCCTTGGCTTAAGCTGGTTTCCCTAGAAGCAGAGACATGTAAAGTGACAAACTATTAAGGGATCTTGTAGGGAGCAGGGGAAGCCAAGTGAGAGTGTGGTGTAAGGTGAAACCCAAACTCGGAAACCTGATCCCTAGGGGAGATCTGGGGCAAGGGCTGTCTGTAATCTGGGCTGTTGGCTGCAGGAAGAGGAGGTATGTGGATTACTGGGCATCCAGTTGCCCAAGCATAGACTCTACACTTACAGGTTGCAAAGAGGAGTTGTTGACAGGAAGGACGGTGGCTTCCTGAGAGTAGGTGCCCTGAGCTGGTAAAATGATCTTGAGGGAGTACCAACAGCTTCTCCTACTGATTCACACACACAGCCCTATCTCATTCCACTTCCTTGTGAAGAACCCACTGGAATTGAGGAAACACTAGGATGGGTAGTTAAACAGGACAAAGATTGAAAAACAAAGCAGTTTAGCATCACTTTCCCTCTATCCTCCATTTATTGAGTAGAATGTAATTGTGTTTTGTGATACTCTGTAACATCAAGGGTTTAACTCTATCTAAGTACCCTGGCTTTCTTGGGGTTCAGTCTGTGAAAGGTAAGGATGCAGGCCCTCTAGACCATGTCCAGACGCCCTGAGCATGTCTTAGAAGGAGGGAAACATACAAGTTGTCCTAACTTTTGTTCTTGGTTTTTGAAGGGTAGACCTGGCCCCCCAGGTGTTCCGGGCATGCCTGGGCCCATTGGCTGGCCAGGCCCTCAAGGACCCAGGGTAAGTGTGTGATGCTCTTAAACTGATGTGATGTCAGAACAAGAGAAGAAGATGACAGCTCCCTGGCATAGAATCCGTGAACCATTTCCTAAAGAGGGGAAAGAAGAGAGGAGTGTGCATGGGTCCCCAGACACTTCACCCAGCATGCAGGCCTTGTTCAGTGCAATGCTCTGCTCCTGTAGGAGGAGAAACACTTCCCTCTCTCCAGGGTCCTGCTTCTCTTTGATCTGAGAATTAGCATGCTATTTTCTGGTTTGCCCGAGATTGCTCCAGATAGGTTTGGAGCAACTTGAAGGTATGATTCTTCTTCCCCAACTATAAATTTTATGAAATCTAGTTACAGACCAAGTATTTTGAATGAAAATTTAACTTAAAGGGGCTGGTCAGATAGCTCAGCAGACTAAATCACCTGCTTAGACAGAGCACAAAGGCTGGGATTTGATCCCTGCATGCCATGCCAGCCCTGTCTGCGGGGTGCCCTGAAATGGTAGTTGAGACTGGGTGTGGTGGCGTGTGCCTGTACTCCCAGCATTTGGGAGGCTGAAAACAGGAGAATCACTACGAGTCTGATCTGGGTAGTGATCTGTAGACCCTGTAGACCCTGTACTAGATACATTTTTTTAAAAAAGAAAATTTAACTTAAGTTGAGATGGTTCTTAAATTGTAAAACACACAACAGATTTCAAGTATTTATTATGAAAATGTAAAATATCTTGTTCATAATTTTAAAGTGATTTGTGTTTTGAAATGATAAACTAGTAAATTAAGTAACATATACTGGTGAAATTAATTTCACTTGCTTCAACACTTAAAATTCAGGATGTGGCTCCCTTTATATTTCTCCTGGTTGGAATTTTTAAGTGTGAAAGATTCTAGAAGTTCCAACTGCAATATTTTCTCAGGGGTAGCAGAACCTACTTGTAAACCGGAATGTGACCCTCCTCCATTGATGACACCCAGAGGATGGCAGTCACTGTACTTGGCCACTAATACAGAGCTAACACATGCCTAAAAGGCCCTCCCCATGCAGAGAATAAGCCAGCCAAAGATTTTTGTGTATACTGACACCTTGTCTTCAGAGGCCCCCCAGCCCTTGTGCTTTTTCCCCATCTCATCACAACTCTCCCTAGGAGAAGATCGAGCACCACCAATTATACCACCGTAGTGAGTATTTAGTTTGGAGATCTGCTTTCATCTTATATTTAATCTGAAATACCCTGGGAAGGGAAAAGGGGGGAATCGGAGGACCTCAGGTTCACAGTCCAGTTTCAATGTCCCTCTCCGTCCTAGTTCAGTTTCTTTCTTGCCTATGACCCTTCTGGTTCAGTTTCTCAAAGGAAAGTCACTGTGGATCTTCTTTTCCTTCTCCTAATTCATGCAGGGTGAAAAAGGCGACCCGGGTGTGATGGGCTTGCCAGGGTCAAGAGGACCAATGGGCTCCAAGGTGAGTGTGCGCCCGAGGGCCCAGCCGACTAAGGCTTTGGGGCAGGTGTTGTCTACCAAGTGGGGATAATGGGCTGCTGTCAAGGCTGAGAAATGTCGGAGATTGCGGGCTCCAGTGGTTTCCCTTGTCAGCCCTTTGGGAGACATCTTGCCCTGGATGCAGGGCCACAGGATGCCATTCCTGCATCCTCCCATGCTGTGATGAGCAAGCTTCTGGACAATGGAGCAAAGGAAAACCTTTGTTCAGGTCTCTGGGATAAGAAAGTTGTGTTCTTTTTAGGCCTGATATAAACACAACCCTCTGGGACATCGTCATGATTGCAATTCCACTGAAACTTGCGGTGTAATGCAGAAAGCCCTCAGCATCCCATTCGAGCATTGCTTTTCACTCAGCAGTCCCACAGCACTGACTGATTATAAATACACTTCTGCTTTCTTCCAGGGCTACCCTGGATCCAAGGGAGAAAAGGTCAGTCCTTGTCTCTGATGGTGTTCTAGAACCTGGGCTAGATGGATGGACAGATGAGCCTCCATTTTGAAAATGGCTGACCTGCAGGCTCTTGAGTCAGTGAAGGACAGAGGATGGGCTGAGCTCTTTCTTTAGTCAATAACTGCAGCTCTTTCTTTAGTCGATAACTGGAGCAGGTGAGTGATCCTGGTCAGGTAGAGGACGGACACAGTTTGCATGGAAGTGCTGGAGGAAGGTGGCAGGTGTCCTTAGACTCAGCTTCTGCTACACCATGTCCTCACTTGTCAAAACAAAGCAGAAACCAACAGAAACTTGGAGACAAATTTCTTATGGGATAAAGGAGAATCTAGGACCTAGAATTTTCTATGAGTTATGCTTTATTAACTCTAGAGATCTTTAGGGTCCAAACAGAAGGCAGATCCCAAAGCATTCCTTTCGTGGGAAAGCCGCCCAACATCTCTTGGCTTAGGAAGCTTTTCAGTTTCAAATGTTTCACTTCCCCAAACCCAGCTCCACCATGGTATTAACTCATTGACTCTTTCCTGTGGTTTCCTCCTAGGGATCCAGAGGTGAAAGGGGTGACTTGGGTCCCAAAGGCGAAAAGGTAATGGCTGGTCCATAGAAATGATAAAGTACAATGGAAGTGATGGCCCCTCCTCATCCCATGTGTGGACTGAATGATGGATGGACAGATGAGCCTCAATTTTGAAAATGGCTGACCAAGCTCATCCACAACCCTTTCAAGTGTTATCAAAGTATTTGTTGCTCTATTCACAGGGTTTCCCAGGATTTCCTGGAATGTTGGGACAGAAAGTAAGTACATAGAAGTAATGAAACACAGGTCTCAGTTAAAAAAAAAAAAATCAGGCTTTCCAAGCACAACAAAAGGGACCCCTACTCTGGGGCTTATGTTTATCAAGCAGAGTTTAACTGTGAAAGGTTCTGGTCATGGGGAACAAGCTGCCTCACCTACTGAGGGAGGGTAGCAGGGTGGCTTCCAGCTCGACAGAACAGACCATTCTATCTGAGTAGAGACAGGGCCTTCTTTGCTTTCCCTGCTTCTTAGAGGGACACAATAATGCTCAAAAGCAGGAACCTCTGTGACAAGGTACTCAAGTCTGAGCTACAGTGGTCAAGGCCTCTCTCAACCCACAGGCCCCAGGCCTTTGGTTGAATGCCATTGATGCCCAAGACATGCACAGAATTGTTTTAACTGGATGATGACAATCATTGTATAGTAACTAAATTTTTTAAATTAGAATAGTGAAATATTTAATGGGCCTCTTGCTTAGAACAAGGCCTAATTAAAAAAGAGTGTTTCAGGTAAGTTAAAGAAATAATGATTCAGTAAATAAGAATAGGATGATATGCAGATATAACAAAAAGTATAGAAGTAGCAACTGATTGCCAGATGTTTAGAAACTTTCACTTAGTCTAGGGAAAAAGGGTGAGGTCAAGATGAAGGGAAGTACCAGAGAATAAATAGAGAAAATGTATAAATGACCATTGAGAATGATTCTTAAGCCGATATCATGATGCTGGCTCCTCACACGTGAAGCATCCACATTGGAAAATATTTTAACTTAGATCTCAGACCGTAATTTTTTCAAACACACAAATGGAATCTTTAGTTGAATTTTTAACTCCATCAGAAGGTATTATTTTGGCACACCTCAACAAATTATTATCCTACTGCATCTAGTCACTAGAGCATATTTAAATATTTTCAGTCATTATACATTGATTCACTATGATTTATCACACCTTCAGCTGTCAGACACTTTCTGCCTCCTAGAGAAAATGATGCATATTTTTTTTCTATATTTTTAGGGAAGAGTCTACAGGGTGTTCAGGGTCTCACTACTAGATTGGACTTGTAGTGATTCTCCTGTTTACAGCCTCCCAAGTGCTGGGTTTACAGGCATGTGCCACCATACCCAGTCTCAAGTGATGCATTTTTTAAAAAAATATTAATTATATAAGCAAATTTGTTGAGGATGGTGGCACGTCCCTGTTGCCCTGCTACCCAAGGGACTGAGGCAAGAAGTTGCTGCAAGTTCAAAGCCAGCCTGAAATCTATAGAAGCAAGCAAGCAGGGGTGGTGGCGCACATACCTATAATCCCAGCACTCAAGAGTCTGAGGCAGAAGGATTGCTATGAGTTCAAGGACAGCCTGGGCTACACAGTGAGTTCAAGGTTAGTCTGAACTACATAGTGAGACTCTATATTAAAACAAACAAACAAACAACAACAACAACAAAAAAAACACAAAAAACAAGAGGGGCCCGGAGATAGCTCAGCGGTCTAAAGCTCCTGCTTAGGCAAAGTGTGCAGGGATTACACGGTTCAATCCTTAGCATCTCATGTGTGCCAGTCCCGCCCTAGGGGTGGGCTGAGCTGGCCATTAAAAAAAAAAAAAAAAAAAAGAATAAAAATAGAAAACCACTTGGGGTGGGTCTTTATTCAGTGCAATAGCAAGCCTCAAAGAATCATAAGTTACTGTAAAACTAGGTATGATGGTTTCTCTGGTCTCTGCACCATTTTCTAGGCTTAGCATCCAAAGCGTTTCTTCCCCCCTTTCATAGCATGCTGTTTTAGGAGGAGCTGATATCATAATCATAATTAGGTCTTAGGAGAGAAATTAGATCAAGAAATTACTGGCTGATTCCAGTTGATAAAGAAAAGGGCCACACTTCCTTCTGACAATCTCTTTAAAAAAATTATATTGTTTATGCTACTGTTTGCTGCTAGTCAAACAAGACCTCCCCTGGCCTCACTAAACAGCCAAGAGGAAATGGTACAAACATCTCCATGGCAACAGAGAACCCATCCTATACCCCACACTCTCCCCACCGAGAATGCTGAAGGACACCATGAGTTGGCAAGAAAGCATAGGTATAAGGACAGTTCTTGGCAATGCGGGACAGTGGCACCTCGAGTCGGATCACATTCATGCTGATGGCTGCCCTGACCGATCGTTCAAAGCTTGTGCTTGGTCCTTACCGTCTATTTACATTCTCTGGAATTTCCCGTTGAATCACACAGCCTCTGACCACCATGTGGCGGGAACCCAGATGTCTACTTTTGTCTCTGAGGGGCCAGGACAGCTCTTCACGGGCACAAGGTGCCACTTAACACAAAATTTCATGGTTGTAACTGTTACACTCGTCTTGTTGGAGGTGTATTTTGGGCTGTAGGGGGATTATAGAGGCAGGAATGATGTGCTCTATGAAGCCATGGTCCCCCAAAAGCAGTAATCCTACAGACCTGCTCTAGAGGCCTAGATTCCTAGGGGAGAGTTTGTCACACCTTCAGCTGTGTGGGGCAGCTGAAGAACATGGAGAAGAAAAGTAGAAGTATGGTAGAGAACCTGTTTTCCAAAATGTTGGCCCTGAACTATGAATTTCTATGGCGAGTGCATTCAGTTCTGATAGTTCAATATAAACTTATTTTCAATTTGAGATATTGTTTACATTATTCCACACCTTTTGCTATAGTAATATTGAATATTTGAGCATATGTTTGAGGGTTGGTTTTTTTTCTTTTTTCAGTACTGGGGATCAAACTTAGAACCTCGCACTTACCCGGCAGGCACTTATGGTGCTAGGCTATCTCTTCAGCCCTGAACGTATGTTTGAAACATCTCTCCCCACCAAAAAAAAAGTTTATTTAGATCAGTATAAACGAGCTAGAGCTCAAAGCTATGTTTACTGAAGAGTAGGGAAATATCTACTCCAGATGAGGTCCACTGAAACAGGCACAAGCGTCCCAAAGATGACAGTTGGAAACACTATGTCCAAGTCTTAAAAACCCCTAGATTTAACTATTGTTTAAAAACCAAAACATAACCAAGCACAAAGGGCCGGCAAGCTAGGTCAGCGGACTAATGCACCTGCTTAGGCAAGCTTAGGCAAGAGCAGGGACTGCGGTTGTATCCCCGGCACCACATGTGGCACCAGCCCTGCCCCCAGGGCAGGCTGAGCCTGTGACAGAGTCCGATGTGGTGCTGTGGTGGCGAACAATTGTAATCCCAGCGCTGGGGAGGCTGAAATCAGGAGGATCACTACAAGTCCGAGCTGCTTAGCAAGGAGACCCCGTACCAAACACATGAATAAATAAATAAACAAAACAAAGAAGCCTTTCCCCGGTTCATAGTGTCCTACAAAACTGAAATACAGAAGCCTGCATTTTGTCTATTCTGGATGTTGTCTCTGATTTCACCCCTAAAACATCGATTGCCCCACACTGTCTCTCAGGTAATAAGCAACCTGCTCAGGGACGCTTCTTTTTCCTTAAAAGAGAGGGCTTTCACGTGACCTCACCAGACTCCCAAGCTTCCAGGCCATGCCCCTGGAGAAGACCTGACGGCCACGAGGCCACCCTCACGGGCAGCGACCCGTGGCACAGACCTGGGTCGGTCAGCCCGCCCTCCGGGCCTTGATTCCTTGCTTGCTTCTCTTTCTTCCCTGCAGGGTGAAATGGGCCCGAAGGGTGAATCTGGGATAGCAGGGCATCGAGGACCCACAGGAAGACCAGGCAAACGAGGAAAGCAGGTGAGGGTCCCCGGGCTTGCGGCAGGACCCCCTGAGCTGGGGACGCAGAGAGAGCAGGCCTGTCGTGGGGTCGGTCAGAGATGACCCACAGCCCCGGACTCCAGCGCGCTCTGGGCTGCAGCAGAAGCAGCGCCACACCAGGTGGCCGGAGTGCCAGGCGGTGGGCAGATGCTCCGCTCGCTCGCGCTGCGCCCCAGCACGGCTGGGGCTTTGGTTCGTGGGAAACAGTCTAACTTAACCGAAGCAACCGGGAGAGACAGGGAGGCAGCTACGAGCACGTGGCCAGAGAGCAGTCCCTTTCTCAGTGTCCCAGACGCAGGTGAGATCTAAAGAAGAGCCCCGCTCGTTCCCTGCTGCAGAAAGGTCTTTTGGGACCCAGCGACAGGGGAGCCTTTTAATCGGGCTTGAGAAGGACTTAGGGAGACTGCTCATTCTGAGCCCTCCTGGTCAGCAGGCCCCCACGTTACTCCGGTGAAGTGAAGGAAAAGGAAAAAAGGAACGTGTGTTTGCCCGGGCAGCCCTGCAGCTTTGCTCAGTGCTTCAGAAATTGTCCAGTCTTTTCCACAGTGGCTTGGCCTCTTCCTTTTTTTGATTGTCAGCTTACTGGCTTTTTATTTCAAAAAGACATTTTAAATCCAACTATATTTATTTTTTTAAATGTTTATTGAAAAGCAACTCTACTTCTACTTCATGCAAACAAAACATATCAGTTAGCCTGGCATGGTGGTGCACACCTGTAGTCCCAACAACACTCAGGAGGCTGAGGCAGAAAGATGGTTGAGAGTTCAAGACCAGTCTGATCCACAAAGTGAGCTCCAGGCCAACCTGAAATTCATAGTGAGACCCTGTCTCAAAAACACAACAGCCAACCAACCAAACAACCAAACACCAGTTACAAGAGTATTAAAATATGAAATAGTGATACATATCACCACAAAATTTGTAAGACTTATACACAGGAAAGTAGCAAACATTACAGAGACATTAAAATTTTCAAGAAACACTTTAAGGTAAAACACTTGAAGATGACGATTTTCTATGAAAATCTGAAAGGTTTGAACTCATTAAAACAATTTTGAAAAGAAAAAAACAACTTTGGGAGGCTGATATGACATTGTTTCCAAAAGTAATATATATTTATAATATCTTATTTACTCTTTCAGTGTCTCACACTAGGAGGATAATACTTGCACATATGAGTGATTTATTTCGCTTATAAGTACACACCTGAATTGCATCCATTTACCTATAAAGGTTATCCTTTTTCTGGCTGAATAATATTCCATTGTGTAAAAAGTCCACATCTTTTTTTATCCATTCCTTAGGTGATGGGCATTTGAATTGTTCTAAGATTTTGCTTTTATAAATTGTGCTGCTATAAACACGGGTGCACATATATTGTTGTGGTATGATGATTTTAATTCTCCTGGGAAGATACCCAGAAGGGGAATGCTTGGGTCACATGAAGCTCTAGTCCTAGTTTTTTGAGAGCTCTCTGCGCTGATTTCCACAGTCGTTGTAGCAGTCTGCACTTCCATCAGCAGCGTAGAAGCACTCCTTGACCCCCTCAGCCCACCAGCACTTGTGTGTGGTTGATTCCCTGAACATGGCCGCTCCCCCTGGGGTGGGTGGAATGTCGGTAGTGCTTGCATTTGCGTCTCTCGGATGACCGGTGATACTGAACACTTCTTCACACATTTGTTTGCTTCCTGTATTTCTTCATCTGGGAAGTATCTATTCATCTTGGAGGCCCTTTTTTTTTTTTTTTTTTGGATCTCTAAATTTGGGAGGTTAACTATATTTAAATAATTTTAATTTTTAAACTTAATCTATATGGATATGAATATATGCACTACTTGCTTTTTCTGTCCTTTTTCCCCCCTTGTATTTTAGGGAAAGGTCTACAGAGCGCTCAGGGTCTTACTACTAGATCGGACTTGTAGTGATTCTCCTGTTTACAGCCTCCCAAGTGCTGTCTTGCCCTGGGGCATGCTGAGATAGGGATTGAGAGTAGGCATGGTGGTGCACGCCTGTAATCCCAGCACTTGGGAAACTGAAAACAGGAGAATCACTACGAGTCTGATCTATGTAACAAGACCCTGTAGACCCTGTACTAAATACATTAAAAAAAAAAATTAAAATCCATTTTCAAGGCCAGAGAGATAGCTCAGTAGAATAAGCGCTTGCCTGGCAAGCGTAAGGGCCTGAGTTCAATCCCCAATTCCACTAAATAAATAAATAAATAAATAAATAAGCAAATAAAATCCATTTTCAAAAAAAAAAAATCCATTTACTTTGTCAGCTTTTTACTTCTCTTTCCACTTACACATACACTATCACAAAACTTGCACAACCCAGAAAAATTAAGAGAAAGCATCTAATGCCCCAGCCTGCAAGCATATGTACTGTTTGTTGGTCACTATGGTACAACTTAGGACATTTCCTTCCAGAATTATTTCCTTTGATATTCCAAGTTGTTTCTTTTATTATCCAATGTATGGTTATGTTGTCCTTCATTTTTTTTTTTTTTACTTAAAATTGCAATGTGCAGTTTTTCTTGTTACTATAAATATTAGCCAATGTTTGAGAGCATCTTTTTAAAATATCTGCATCACATTTTAGCAAATGGGTGAGTAACGCTTTGTGTGGATAGAAGAGGTCCGACCAGATTGTAGATTAGGGTGGGAGGTGAACATCTTGGGGGCTGCCTCCTTCCAGGACTTCTGGATAGATGTGCCCCCTGCATGTGGTTGGCCAGTCGTAGCTTAGAGGAAAACCATCTGGGTATTGACTGGAGACAGATGCCCAGAGCAGGCACAGCGGTTACAGGCCCAAGTCTGCTGTGTGTCACCCCAGTGCAGAGGCTTTAGTTCCCGGAGACCATGACCCAATTGGGCCTTCAGCAGGATCTTTGTTGTGTTTTATTTTGTGAGCTGCCCATGTCATTCTCAGGGGCAGCCAGGGTTTGGGACTATGGTGACCCTGTGAAGCGGGTCACGGTGCTTTGTGAGTAAATCTAGGAAAGACACAGGCTCCAATCTGACTAACTCAGGTCTCACAGTAATATTTGAAGTCACAAAATTCCAGTCTAATTTTCAAAGTTCTACACTAGGTGATAAGGTTATGGCTTCGTAGACACCAATTTCCTTAAAGCTTGGCTCAGAAAAGGGAGAGGAAAGATTTTATCATGTCCTCCCCTGCTGGTGGTCTCCATCCAGAGTATTGAGTGCTTTGGGGCTCGAGAAGCCTGTGGGCGACTGGGAGTACAGCTCAGCGGCACAGGGCTTGTCCAGGACGTGCAGAGGCCTGGGTTCCGTCCCAGCACAAGGCAGAAAGAAAAGAAAAGGCCTGCTGGCCTCTGTCCTCTACTTGTTTCTGTCAGTGTCTCTTCTCCTGGGACAGCCTATTTTTTGGCTCTGCTGACATTGGTTTCTTTGTAGTAAAATCTACACCAAAATCACATCTGTGAGCTCAGAGCAGCTGATGGGCTGAGCCCATCTTTCCTACAAGATGCTCTAAACAACCCGCGTGTGCTCCCAGCCCTCGCCCTGAGAAGACACTTGAGCTGGTAGCTTTGGAAGCCTGCCATGGTGCTTTTACAAATTCATGCTTTTACAGTGTTGTTACAAATTCATCTCCTAGCATAGACTCCTCCTATAGCCAATGTCAGTTGAGGCTGTGGTACTAACAGTTTCTGGAGGCTACGTAAGTCAAGCCAAAACCAGAAATTAAAAATTCAGAAGGGATTTCAGATAAGAATTTGCCAACAGAAGGATTTTAGAAACTGTTTAATCCGATCGACTCAGTTTTTCACAAGGAAACTGAGGGTTAGTGAGGTGGAGCTACCAGAGGGGTAGGGTTAGGAGTTAGGGTGTGGGGACTGGCCTTTCCTGTTTCCTCTCTGTCACCTCCTCTTTCAAGACTTCCTTTGGGCAGGGCTGGGAAAGCACCTGTTGTCTTTTCTTTTCTTTCTTTCTTTCTTTTTTTTTTTTTTTACTATTATTTCAAAGCTACTTTAATAGTTTGTGTAATCAAACCCACATAGATAAGACCTTACCTACTGTATAGTGTATTACCCCTGTACAAATGGGAAAAAATTAAGTTTACCATTTCTAGGCCAGTGTGGCTGTTAATTTCTGTACAATGCCAACTCAACATGGTAAACTGGGATAACACTGTCCAAAGTTGAGAGCACAGTTAAAGTTTCCAAAAATTCATATTACATATATATGATATATAATTATGATTTGTTATATATAAGCACATATATTTATATAAGAAGACTAATATTAGGAATATGCTATGAATCAATAGCAACAGCTTTTCAACAGTCATCTGGACATAATTATAGACATTCAGCATACTCCATTAAAAAAAGAAGAGCCCAGTTCCTTGTGTTTGCCAGGCAGGTGCTTAGACTGCTGAGCTATCTCCTCAGCATGAGGTGCCATTCTTAGCTGTGTAGTGAGACAGAAGAAGAAGAAGAAGAAGAAGAAGAAGAAGAAGAAGAAGAAGAAGAAGAAGAAGA